TGCCGGACACGGAAAAAAGACAAAAAAAAAAAAAAAAAAAAATTTCACCATCTAGTCCTTGATTTCAATGATAAAATGCATGCATAACTATTGTCTACTGAGTTAAATCTAAGGAAGAATTTTATGCTCAACAAGAATGGCTCCTCAGTTCGATTCTACATATTCACATGTGGTCAATCGTACAAAGCTACAAAGAACACTTCAATTTTTTCCCATTTCATCTAAGCTTACCCACGGTAAATGCTAAGACACAGATACTTTTGTGCTAGGTGCAAAGCTGTTTTGTTTTTTAATGGACACCTGGATCCTGTTCTTGAGTATCCCAGGCAATAAATTCTGTTCTGGGACAATGTCAGAACCTGATCTTATGATTACGATTAGACTGTAAGCTTCAGGAAGGTCCGGAGTCCCTCCTGCCTGCCTCTCCAGCACCTTTCTATCAGTGTCACAGGCTGCTCAGAAATTGTTTGCTGATGACTGGAATAATACAGAAACTAAACTCACTAAGTCCACTTTGATAGATCTGAATAGCTCTCAAGTTCCTTTTGCCATTTTTGCCTTAGAACAAAAAAAAAAAAAATGGATTCTGTTATCAGAAATTATTTGCTCACTCCTTAACCTATGAAATGAATATGCCTCTTAATCAAGAGAATTTTATCCTGCTAGCTCTTAAAATGATGAAGTATCCTAAATAGGAAAACGACATTGCGTTTGAAATACAGAAGCTGTTGAAGTGACACCAGTGACATTTTGGGCCACAAAACTCTTTGTCGTGGGGGGGCTATCCTGCAGGTTATCAGATGTTTAATAGCATCCCTTGTCTCTACCCACCAGATGCCAGCAGCATCTCTCTGCCCCCAGATGTGAACCACAAACGCCTCCAGACATTGTCAAATGTCCCCTGTGGAGACAAAAATCCACCCGCAGTTGAAAACTACTACTCTTAAATCAGAGACCTGCTTTGAATCCTTGCTCTGGCCCATTTCCTAGTCCCAGCAAATTCCTCATCTATAAAATGGAGGTACTATAGCAGAAATGCTATAGTAATTAAATGAAATGACATACGTACAGGATTTACATGCACAGAACATTCAGTGCCAGTGTGGGTGCCCAATAAATGGTAAGAAATGAGGGGAGGTTAAAAAAAATTAATTTCTAGAACCCAAAGGGATTTATCTTCAGGCCTCCAGAGTACTGTCAAGATGGAAGAAGCAGCTGAGAGAAAGAAACAAAGAGAGAGGGTGGGGGGGAAAGAGGAAACAGCACTAAAATATCTCCCTAATCTCTAAGAACCCAGCTTGGAGTCAAGAACTATGTTCTACTTAATTTTTGTCTGTCTATTCTAACCTCCCAAATAATAAACCAAAAATATCCCCAAATCACAAAAGTCTCCAAAATAATTAAGTCACAAACAAGAAACTTTTTAGTTATAAGCAAGAGGAATTTACTACAATGCACACAAAAATACTGAAGGTACCAGACTGTCACACCATTGTTTTAGATTTGGGAATCTAAGTAAGATACTGAGAGTTCTATATAAGTTGTGATGATAACTTCAACAAGAAAAAGTCAAAAAATGAAGGCTTTTTAAAAGTTCTTAACTGGATAGTTCTGGGTTTCCTTCCTCTCTAGTTTTGCTCCACCGGACAGCTTTTGAGATTACAAGCAGTGTAGGGATTTTCCATTACAGTGGTGCCAGAGACTGAAAGATAAAAGCGAAAAAAAAAGATGAAAAAACCAAAAATGCAAACAAATTCTGCCCATTGATTTTGTCAGGAGCTGAAATCCTATGAAAAGACTGTGGTCACGTGCCAATTTGGAAACTAGCAGAAAAGTTATTCCTCAAAAAACTGTGGTCACGGGATGTGTCATCACTTAAAAAACAAAAAACAATACCTCTACCAAGTATTTGGTCAGCACTTAAAATTCTCCTCTCGCCTTTTTACTTCATGAGTTGGAAGAAAGCAAGGAACGCGATTCTGAAACCTTAGCCAGTGTCTGAACTAGATAATGCCCCAAAGCGCCTCCTGCAGCCCCTAGGATTTTACATTCCAAACGCCTCACCGGAGTAGTCACAAGACTTGAAGCCAACGCTCAGCTGGGGACAATGTCAGGGTCGCCAAAACCCAGCAGTGTGAGCGCCTTTGCTTTCCCTACATGAGTCATTGGAGCGTAGGGCTTGGTTTGGGGTGTGTGTGCTCCCGAGTGGTTGGGGTAAAGGCTGGTGTGTACGTGTGTCCCCAGGTGACTGGCTGTCTTTCTCCGCGTGTGTGTCTGACCCAGTCCCCCAGTGTTTGGGTTTTAGCATCTCCCACCCAGGGTGTTTTATGGATCTCTCTGCCAGGTGTGGGCGAGTGGGTGTGGGAAGTCGTCTTTCTTCCTGCGTCAGTCAGTAGGACGCAGGGGGACATCAAGCCGTCCCCTCTCCTGGAGACGACAGCCCCGCGCACACCGAGCCCCAGCCTCCCGAGGCCCACGCCGCGCTCGATGCCCACGGGTCTCCCCTCAGCCCGGCCCCCACCCGGCCCCGAGGGAGTCCCGAGGCCCGCTCACCTCGCGGACACACGGAGGACGCTCCGGGAGCTCCGGGCCGGCCTGTCAGGGAGCAGGGAGGACAGAAGGAGGGTCGGGGGCCTGACGCACGGGAGGCGAAGACGACAGCGCCGCCCGGCTCCAGCTCCAGCTGCTCGGAGTCAGCGCAGAGGGAACATGGCGACGGGCCGGGGCGGGGATGGGGCGGGGCGGCGACCAGACCCTGGGAGCGGGCTGCGGAAGGCGGGGCCTGGGGCGGGGCCGAGGGAGGCGGGGCCGAGGGAGGCGGGGCCGAGGGAGGCGGGGCCTGCCGTCACACACTCCCCGACTGACGGTACACGCTAAGTAGCGGGGTCCCACCC